GAGATGATAAAAATGAAGATTTAATCAAATCCCTAATTTAGATAATTCATTAACGAAAGATGTTAAAGTAACAACTCTTTTGGGTGATTTACCTAAAGAAAGTAAGTAATTTGATAAAATCTCTTAACTGTTTTAGTGAAAAGATGAATGGTGTCAATACATATGAATATTTAGGTTGATATAAATAATAATTTGTTGATGTTTGAAATATATGGTCAGTATTTAAGAGTTGCATCAAAGTTGCTCTTCAAGACTTATATAGGATAAATACTAATATTTTATTATAAATTCTCTGACTATTTTTATTAAAAATATACTAACCAAAATTGCTCACACACAAACACATGCTAATCCTGTAAATAATAGTAAAATTTTAGATTTTTTTCGCAATTATTAAAATTTCCTAATAATGATAATAACTATTTTCTTTATATATTATATATTGATAATGAAAATAATAATAATAATAATAATAATAATAATAGTGTTATATATAAAATAATAATAAATTAAAGAAAATAAACCCAATATAAATATCAGTCTAAAATTAAACGATTATTTAAAAAAAACAAAACAAACAAAATAATAATAATAATAAAAATCAAAGCAATAGGATTAATCAAAGGCATTGAACGTAGAAAAGCAGCGTATCGAATGAAATGTAAAATACACCCCCCCCCCCCCCCATGTTCTTCCGAATTTTATTGTTGCGGCAGGGCATTCCATCTATTGGAAGTGCGTTTAATGGTCGTTTTGGTTTACTGCCAACATTGTGGATTAGCACTCTACCGCTCCATTTGTTTATCATCATCATCATCATCATCACCGTCTACCTATGAATCATCCCAAATGCGGATTGCCTCTCGTTTAACCATCGAGGATCGAAATACCCTCGATCTTCCTACTAAAGTGCCAACATTATTCCTCTCTCTTCTTCTCTATCTTTTTCTCTATTTATCTCTCTCTTTATCTATATCTTTTTATCTTCGTAATCGCTCGCATTTATTAATGGTCGATCATAATGATGAATGAAAAGAAAAAGAAAAACACGTCTTTTCGAAACGATACGTTTCAACAATAATATTGTAAAAATAAATAAAATGTAAATGAGAAAGAAAAAGAGAAAAATAGAGAGAGAGAGAGAGAGAGAATAACTGAGTGAATAAGTGAATGAATAAATGAGAGAAGAAGAGAAAAAATAAGAAATCGATCGAAAAGAACGTTTCTTTTTCCTAATGAATGTAACTATAGGGATCCGTGTTACTTGGAAACTGAATTGTACCAACAAATTCTCTACAATATCCCAAGAGAATCCTGAGTTCTACTTCAAAGTCTGGGGATATACAACTTAAAACAAGAAAGGCAGATAGAGAAATGAACTAACGATAAGAGAGAAAATGAAAGAGATATGAAAAGAGACAAAGCGGGAAAGAGAGAGAGAAAAGAATATAAAGAAATATATATAAATATATATATATATATATATATATATATAGAGAGAGAGAGAGAGATAGAAAGAAAGTAATAGTAAATAAATGAATAAATATATGATTAAATATATGTGTGAAAGAGACAGGAAAAAACTAAAAGACAGAGAAAGAATGATAGTAAATGAATTTTTGATTTTAATTAAATATATGTATGTGTATGTACATGATTAAGAGTGAAATTGACAAATAATAAGACAAATATAGAGAGAAAAAAAACATAATATGATAAGAGAGAGAAAGAAAAAAATAAATAAATATAGAGAAAAAAAAAGAAAGAGATGGGAGGGAAGGTAAAAAGAAAAGCAAAGCTATTCGAGAGGTTTTCGTTTGATAACTCAGATGCAGTCTATTTCCTTCTTATAAAAGAAAGATAAATGATAAGTTCGAAAAGGAATTCAAAGTTTGAAAGTTACGTCGGTAACTAAATATGTCTCTGGAGTTTATCTTTGATCAACATCGTCATCGCAAAAGAGAACGACACAGAAGAAGAGAGAGAGTAAGAGAGAGAAGGAGAACACGTGAGAGATTACGAGAAAAACTCGAAGGATGAAGCTCTCCTCCTCAAGAGAATTCGTACCTGTGATGTTGTTTCTGCTTCCCGCACCAATATCACCACCACCCACCCCTACCCTTTACCTCATTTTTTTTTCTTTTTCTTCTTCTCTTTCTCCTCTATATCCCTTCTTCTTTCATACCCTTTGCCTCTGACTCACTCGTTCGTTCGTTCGTTCGTTCGTTCTCTATTTTAATATGCAAACTCTAAAGTTAATATACGCCGTTTCTGTTTATGCACTTCTTTTCGAGAATCTCTGTACGAGTTTCCTTTTTCCGCATCAAGAGAGTAGCAGCATCATTTTCCTTTATTTTATCACAAACAAACAAACAAGCAAATAATTAATACGACGCGCGTACGGTCAGATGTAAACACAAGCCAATGTTATTGCTATTCCTCGAGGCTAGCAAAACGATGAGTTCAAGTTCAAAGATGGATTGATGTAATAAGAATATACTCGGGAGTTTGGTTAGAGACGAAGAGAATTGCTTCTTTTTTGTTCATTTATCTTGTCGTGAAATTTTAAAAAGATTTGTAGAAAGAGTAATGAGATATGATTATAACTTCCAAGATGTTGTTGTTTCTAAACATTTATAAATGATTTCAATGATGAATTAATATTAGAAATATATTTAGATTAAAAATAAATACTGTTGGTATAATAACACTAGCGAATTGCGTTTATTCGATTTAATTAAAAATAAATAAATAAATATATTTGAAATGAGTGAAATTCACGGCAGACATTTTCAATTAAAAATATAGAATGTAATATTTTATTTGAAGATATGAATCTTTAATTATCATGAGGTTAAAAATACTATAATTTAAAATACCTATAAAAAAGAATAATTTTATTAATAGTTCATTTCGGGAAAGACACCTTTTGGACATTCCATGTAATAATTCGCATAAAAGTTTAACGCAAATAAAGGAGTAATAATTAAATAAGCATTGTATTATATGTGTATAGTATTTTCTATAATGATCAACACGAAAAATTATTTCAATATTAAACCTTAAAATTAAAACAAAATAAAATATATAAAACGAGATAAACTATACAAAAAAAAAGATTCATACGAAATAAAATATAAAAATATTAAAATGAAACAAAAACAAAAGGGAAAGATTAAAAAAAAACAAAATGAATAATCAAAAATAACAAACGAAGAATAAAGAGAAAATGAGGGATGAAAAGGGGTAGGGTAAGAGGTGGGGTATATGGAAGAAGAACGATTTCACGAAGATAGGATGGATGGTTCGAGGTTTAATAGGATCCGAATGGGCGTTCGTGTCCGCGCGGGAAATCCGAATTTATGAACCTCTGGAAGGATTTAATTTATTTAAATCTCGCACCTCGCTAAGCTTCATTTTAATCCTGATTTACCACATGGCTTTTCTTGTTATGCGCGCTCGCGGTTCGTTTTTGGTCGGCTGTTATCGCGCGCACACAAACACGCATGAAAACGTTCACACGGATGGGAAGCATTCGTATTGAAAAAAAAAAAAAAAGAAAAAAATTAAAAATACAAAAAAAGAATATAATAAAAGTATTCGTGAATATCGAGAGCAGGAACGAAATTATTCGTCGAATTAATATGGTATGAAAGATTTTGTAGGAGATACTGTTGACAGGAATATAAAAAAAAACAGAACAGAACAGAAAGACAACAAACTTTTATATAACAAAATACTAATAATAATTATTATTATATATTTAATTATTATTATTATTATTTGATTTATTTAATTATTAAAATGTAAATTATTACAAAGTATAATTAATAATAGTACTATATCTCGATTCAATGCTTAAAAAAGGATATAACAAATATATTATAATAATATTTCAAAAACTTTAATATATATCAAAAAATATGAAATCTCCCTCTCTCTCTCTCTCTCTCTCTCTCTCTAGATATAGTTATTAAATAATATACCTCTATCGATCTAGTCAACATTATTGAAAGGAATCGTTTCTCACGATTCTCAGTTTCGATTTTCCCGAGGAAGACGAGCATGTCGGTATATTAAATTCGATCTGAGAAGGTAACGTCCGAGAGAACTTTACTCGTTTTCGCGCTGAGTTAAGTAATTGGAAGGTCCAGCACCGCGGTGATTTATCACTCGATCCTTGACACATGTGCTCGCGAACGCACCAACGAGAAAGGCGAACGGTAAGAGGAGTAAGAGAAACAGGAGGAGGAAAGAGAACTAGGGGATGTGGTGGTGGCAAAAGGGGGAAGAGGGGGGGGGAAGGTGAGAGAGAAGCTCCTCAAAGCCCAGAGATTGTTCTCCCTCGCTGACCAATGATCGATCGATTCAATAGGTGTACTAGGCAGCCCTCAGTGACTCGACTAGTGCTAGTGATTAAGTGATTTTCACGTCAAAGAATGAAAGCAACAAAAAAAAAAAAAAAAAGATATAAAGATACAAATCTTTGAGACGAAATTTTGCTCTCTTTCGCACTTTTTTCCTCATTTGAGATGATAATCCAGGGATGTTCAATTCATGGTTTACCTCTGGCAGCACAATATTTAACACTATAATCATTATATTCTTATATAGAAATTATTTGTAAGAGCTTTTTTTTATAAAACATCGAGGTGGTACTTTTGGTATTACTGTAGCAGAATATATTACAATTTTTAGTAATTATATTTTTGTTATTTATTTTTGTTTGAAAATCGTGTGACTAATCGTAATATTTTATTTTTGTCTAAACAAAGTTCGAGTCGATTTTGTTCCTGCAAATGCGGAAACCAAAATGTTGAACATTTTCATTATAATATATAACATACAATATTTGCTTATATAAATTATATTATTAATAACATATTATTTTATTAATCATATTTGTTCAAATATGAAAGCCATAAATTGGGCACTCCGGAAGCTATACCTGATTGAAGACGTTAAATCATTTCCTTTGTTTTTGTTCCTTTTGATTTTAGGTCAAAACGATATAAAGAAATTGCGAAGGGAGAACGAACAGCTGCGCAGAGAGATATGGAGCCTTCGGGATGAGTACGATAAGCTCGAGGAGATACTGAAGAGACAAAAGAATCCTACTGAAAGCGACGAATCTGAGGTATGTGTTTTCTATATTTCTATGTATCTGTGTATACAAGGTATTTGTGGTTTTTTCGTAGAAACGTTGTAAGAATATTCCACTTTTGACAAAAAAAACCACACAAATGTTTTCTCAAAAACACATTTCATTTACCAAGACTTTACTCCTTAAACACAATTATTAATGAGATACTTGAACGAACGTTTTAGGATCGCTCTGAAGAAGATGATGACGTGGTACATTCGGATTATTCCGAGGAGAACGAGCAAGAAGATGAAGAGCCTGAGAAAATTCAAAATGGTAACGAAAGGACAACGCAGGAGCACGATCAGGAGGAACAATTAGAGAACGCTGAGAATCAGAAAATATCGACGGAAAAGATGAACAATAATAGTTTGCATCGATTGCACGTTGATTTTGATGATCTTTCGGTTGTCGATGAAGAAGAAGAGTTAAAAAAAGAAAAAGATAGAAAGGAAACAACAATAATGAGTGAAGAAAATCAAGAAAAGTTTAAAGTTAGATTGATAGAACCTAGAAAGTTACACGACAATATACCCTTTTATCCGGGTAGTTACGATTCTAGTCAAAGTTATACAGACCCTAATTACTTTCAAGAATATCCATGTCCAACAAGTACAGTGGATTCATTGATACGAGGTGGTAGTAACTTGTCAAACGTCTTACCATCTCTTTGTCCAGCTATTTACGCGGAACCATTGATTCCTTTAGGGACATTGGACTCCCCAATATTGAATCCAATAAACGATAAAATAATACCGGAAATTCACGTGCCACCGATTGGTTGGCAAAACAATCTATTACTTTCGGAGTCAACGGCATTGCCAAGTTATCCGAATGTATTGGCTAGCAGTAGTGTATCAAATTCAACTATGAGAATGGCAAACGTAGAAAGCTCGCAGCAACAGCAGCACTTAGAGAGTCACGCAGTTGGAAACTATCAAAGTTTCGCGAACACCGCTGGTATACGACAAAAGAGAAACTTGGATGATTCGAAACAGCAGCAACAGAAGCAAGGGAACCAACTTGCTTTAAAATTATTTGAAAATTCACATGCATACATTCCAAGACAACAAAAAGAAGTATCATTGGGTAACCTATGGGATGATATCGATGCATCCTGTGAGAAAAATATTGAAAATGAAAGAATAAATGGTCATCGGAATATCGAAAATAACGAAGAAAAGGATTCCGATGAAATTTATGCGTTCGATGATACGGAAAAACCGAAACACTTTTTTGCCCCATTAGCAACGACGAAATCGAAGAAATTATTGGACGAGGAGTCACCTACCGTTTGCGGTTCTAATTACTTTGGAACTGGAACTAGTTCCAGTAGCGGCAAAACCGGGTCTACGGTGATCTGTGAAAGCAATCAATTGTTAGGGTTAAAGGGTTCCATTGACGTTTGCGTAAACGGTGCAGTTTCCTATGGAAATAATTTCTACCGAGAGAAGGAAGATACACAGAGAAACGTGTATCTAAGTACGGACAATCTGTTGATTGAAAGCGTCAAGCCTATACCGATCAATCAGTTAACTAAATCAATGTCCTGCCAGGATTTAAGCAGTGATTCGCAACCCTTGACAAAGATTAATTACAACGAGAAAGGACAGACAATGACTATGAGCGACAATACTTTAGACAATTTAACCAACGAATCATCTTCGACTAAGGCTTATAGATCTCACTTAAATGTTACATTAAAAATTCCACGTCACGATCGTGAAAGAAACGCGAATACTCCGGAAATTCCACAATTACCATCGATGGATTATAGAATTCTCACGAATCCATTTCTCAGGAATATTGAACGAAACGTTTTTGAGTCTTCCGATAAAAATTCTCCGATAACCAAACCACTTTCCGTTCAAGTCAGTGAAAACAATATAAATTACAGTTATCCAAGTTCACCGCCACCACCACAGCAACCATTGGGCTTTACTCGAGGACTTAGACCTAGTGAAAGATATCGTAGAAGGCAAGGTGGAAATTTATTACCCGATCAGAATCGATTGTTGATTCCTACCGATCAATTGATCCCAAATAAAAATCTTTCTACACCAACACAAGACTTCCAAGTAACATCTTTCGAAAGACCAAGTCCCCATGCACTATTACCATCAGCGATGCCCTATGATCTCGATACTTTAAGAAGAATAAATGCAACGCGTTATCTACAAAATCAAAATCTTTATCAAAATATACCATTCGTCCCGGCTCACGTTTGTCCCACTTTACAAATGTATTATGATCAAAATACAAAGAAGGTACCAGCCCAAACACAAACATCAATAGACGGTGATTCTCATATCGAGGATGATCAAAGTTGTCTGCATCATCCAGAAGAGGAAAATAATATCAGTATACCGAACTCACCGAGCGGACAACGACGCAAACGAACAATGAAAAAGGATAAACTACTCGGTACGAAAGCTCTTTCACCGTTAGCTCAAAGAAAATTGAAAAAACAGAATAGCGTGACATCAACGGAAATGCCTGAATCCCCAGGCAAATCTGTGGTACGTCAAAGAGCTAGGAAACTGAGTATCACGACAACTACGACATCGGATGCCCTCGAGGATAAAAACGAGAGTAGATCATCATCCTCGGGACAAGATTCACCGAGAAAAGATCAAGTAAGACGTATGTCAACTTATTTCAATCCAAAACAACGACCGTCGTTAACATCAATCAAAACAACGAGAAGTGGTAGTTTAGAAACATCGAAAGACAAATATTCAGATGGTTTAACTACGACTACATCGGATAAAGAAATAATTCATTCTGCGCAGATTAGAGAAGGCAGTAATGTTCCTGTTAAATCTAGAAAAGGTAGCACAAGTAGTGGAAACGTTCCCTGGTGTGCTTGTTGGGGTAACGGTTGTGTTTGATTTCGATTCGAGGCCAAGTATACGGGTTTAAAGGTTCTCTGTATATATTCTTAAAGTGAGATAAGATCTTTGACGTTGTTGCTAAAGGTGATTCGTTAAATTCAAAATACCGCAGGAAACGGAATGAACTCCAACAGTCTCGTCATGAATTCAATCTGAAAACTGTGAAATATAGGTTAAGGAGGGGTATGGTCTAGCAGGAAACTTGGAAATCATTCGAAATTCAAATCTACGGGTTCGTTCGCAACTGCGACACCGAATGGGACCACGATAAATTCTACAGAGTATAGTAGGCGAAACTTCAACTAAACTACACGTCATTTTACGAAACTAACTCACCGAGTATACGTATGCGTAATGTGTGTGTGTGTGTGTTTGTGTATATACGCTTACGTATAACTCTGAGTGAAATTGTGACCAAGTGTATCATAAAATCAACGCACCTCTTAGAAATGAATCATAAAACTAGTCTCCAATGGTAATATCACCTTCGTATATAAGTGAATCATTACATTTGTGCATGTATGCGTATGCGTGTATATGTGTTAGTAATGTAAAAGAGAACGCGTATGAATTACTGTGTAAATTATGAATGCACCTGCGGAATAGGTCAAAGACCTATGTATTGAAACGACTGCAAAAACGTGTTTTGAAACTTTACAATTTGATCATATATAAAATGTAATATTTATATTCATAAATGTAAGTAATATACAGTGTATGTATGTGCGCGCGTGAATGTTTATCAGTAGGTCGAGAAACATAGAATTTAATATTATTTTCTATTAAGAAAATTCTATGCATTTATGCGCAGTTTTTATCCATCATTTTAATCGTACTAAAGTATTTATAAAAAAAAAGAAAAAAAAAAATGCAATACTAATAAAAAAGAAAAGTAACTTGTACCTTACATAATTACTATAATTAAAATAACTCTTTTTTATTTTTTATTTGAACGAAAGAAAAAAAGAAAGAAAATAAGTATTTTATTATTTTATTATTGTTCTCTTAATAAAACAATTAAATTTCTTAAAACTTGTAATTCTTCTCGTTGTAACATTGATCGATATCGTCGTTCAATAATACGAAGTTTGACTAGAATTTAATGATTGTACGATAATCCGGATCATCGATAATTTCGAGCTTATCTAATCGAGAAGAAGGATAAAATCGGTCCATGAGTTACATAGGAAATTTATTAATGTTCAACGACGTGAACGAGTACTTATGCGTAGAAGTTGTTGCCGAACATCCGGCTTGAAAAGTTCAAGAGAGTGGCGTTAAAAGTTTCGTTGAAAGTTTCACTACGGAAGTTTTCCTTCCGCTTCATTATGAATATACGAAGAATAATGCTTAAGGACTTGAAATTAATCAAAGAAAAAACAAAACTAAATAATATAAGAAAAGATATATACAAAAATAATAACAACAAAATATAATAATAATAATAACAAAAAAGAAGAAAGGGAAAAGAATTTTTATTATAAATTTTACGTTGTGCTTCTTTTTTTGCCTGTTTATTTTTAAACTTTTAACGAACCACGCTTTTTGATATACGAGATCAAAAAAAATTCATAAAAAGATAAAAAGAAAGACAATGAAATAAACTTCAACTTCGTTCAAAATTATCGATCGAATATTTGAAAACATTTTGCCACTTGGAGGAAAATTTTTCAAAATTTATTCATCGTAAAACAACAGTTCTTATTTAAAAGATGATCCAATTGTAACGGAAAGAGAATAAAAATAAAAGAAAGCCGATGATATAAATTCTTTACTTTTTGCTTCGCGTTCACAAAATATATCGATTGGTTTTCCAAAACTTCCTTCTCACGTCCTTCTCCCCTTTCGAGAAGAATTCTCAAAATTTATGCATCGTATAATAACAGCCCATGGCGTAAAATAGGATTCAGGGAGTAGAATTCATGAAGATCCCTTATGAAAATTTTTCACCGCCCTTACCACCGTCGTTATTCTTCATCTGGTAACCCGACGAATAAAAAAGAACAAAAAAAAAAATAAAGCAGCCTGATAAAAGAAAAAGAAAACAAAAAAGTGAAGAAAGAAAACAAGGAAAAAAATAAAGAAGAAAATAAATATAATAATATAATAATTATAATTTATAGAATTATATTTTAAAATCAAAATCATAAACGTAAGAAGAAGAATCTCGCCAAATTTTCAACCCCAAATAATACCTTATAAAAAGGTTTAATGAACGAACGAACGAACGAATGAGCCGTCCAGAAAAAATTTCGCCCCTTTAAAGTACCATTATCGGAATCGTTGTAAATTAAATTACGATCGATAGAAGTCCAGAGGAGAATGAATGCTGGAAAAGATTTGAGCCATGCTTGTAAAATATTTTCTTTCTCTTTTTCACCTCTATATATATATATATCCATTCTCTTTCTCTGTATATGTGTATGTGTATATATATACGTGCACGGTTATATGCGTATTTTTCATAGACACTGGCACAGAAACACGGACACGTATTCAGATACTCGAGACAAATACACAGGAACACAGATACGTATACGTATACATAACCCAAACAAATGCAGAGAAAGACAGAGAGCCATGTATTCAGATAACACACAGACAGACGTATGCATTGGAATGTAGAATGAGAGAATACCAGGATAGGGTGGTGGTCGGGGTGGGGTGGGGTNGGGGGGAGGTAAAGGGTGGAAGGGAAAGCAAGTATGACTTTCAATTTTAATGGGAACATTATTTTTGCAAGAAGAGAAGAAGGGAAAGCACAATGCACGCCGACTCGTTTTAGTGTCAGCTAGGAAGACGAGAAACGGGGTGAAAGGGGGTGAAAGGGGGTGAACGCGCGAGCGTTTCGAAGGGAGGACGTTCGGATGGTGCAATTAAAATGCAAATTATCCCTTTCGCGGAAGACTCGTCCTTGCAACCCTACACCCCGCGATGTTAACGCCGTAACCGATTAACTGGGAACTAATTTACGAGACGACGTCGAGTCGAGTGAAAATGAGAGTTAGAGTGAGATAGAGAATGAAAGATGGAGAATGAAAGAGAGAGAGAGAGAGAGAGAAGGAAAGAGAAATGGATAGAGAAGATGACGTTTTGTCTGTCTCTACGACGACAACTAGCGACGTGACTAACACTCTTAAGAGAACTACGTAGACTAGAAGCAAAGGTTAATTCTGTTTCCTACTCAGAACTTTGACATCTTATTCGGAGATTGAAAGTTTGAACCTATTTCCAATTTTCGTCAATATTATCTCTGTTATTTTCTACTTGTTCTTTCATTTTATTCCATTTTATTTAGTTTTATAAAAATACTTTAGGGATAAATCTTTATATTTTTATTGGATAAGGGGTTGTGTGACATTGTTCTTTCTACAAAATGTGTCACTTTTACGCGAAAAAAAAAAGAAAAAAAAAAGGGTTTCGTTAAAATTTCATCAGGGTTTTGGTAAATATTTTGAAAATATATCCATTTATTATACAGAGAATATCAAAACAAAATCATGAAAAATGTTGTCATTTTAATGAATGATTGTGTTATATATATAAACATTACCATGAATTTATTTGTATAATTTTGTATTATGTGTTTTTGTTTCCATAATTTATAGATAAAAAAAAATGTAGTCGCTGGAAACGGTGAAAACTTTGACGCAACTTGACTCTCACCGATCGGGCAAACTTTGCAAACGAAGAAAGTATTTACTTTTCCTCAGTAAAATGTCGCTTTTTTTTTTCTTTCTTTCTTTCTTTCTTTCTTTTTCTTGACGTGGTAGGTTTTCTCTCTAGAAGTTCCTTTTCCTACTAGCTAAGGAAATTTTCCACGATCTACTTCCAAGTTCACTGAATTTCACGAACCCGCCGGGCCTGGCCTGTTTTCTCGTTACTTTATATTATGTACTTTCAGCAGTTTCATTACTCTTTCGTTTCAACTTCGCATCGTCCACCGTTAACTTCCGAACGAATTTAAAAAGGAAAACTCGCAGTACCCAGGCAAGTGCGTTTTAAATCAGCGAACAATTTTCTTTCAATTTCTTTTTCTTATTTTTGCTGCGTTTAATATCTTGTTAAAGATAAAAAAAGAAATTGAGGGTAAGCTCGTCCCTCGTCTCAGAATTAATTGCAATCGATTAAACTTTTTTTTTCTCATTATCGCGAATAATTATTTATTTTTTAAAATTAAAAAGAAGTCATATATTACTTATTACTATATTTTCAATTAGCCTAATGAACAATAAATATTCTCTCTTTACATTTACAAAAGTATCATACATTTTTCATTCACATCAAATATAAGTTGTCCTAAAAATTTCCAATTTTTTTCTAAGAAACTTTAACGCGAACTATTATATTAGTTTATTATATATCATGTCATATCCATTTCATTTTATTACATTTTTTCTAAATCGTATAAAATTATCAATAAAATAACGTAATATGAAAAAAAAATTAATAGTATAAAATTAACTTAAAAATAAACGAGAAACTTTAAGAGACAACCAAACATTTGATTTCTTATTTTATTTAAATATATATCCATCTAAATAATAATATAATAATTATTATTATTATTAATATTATTTAAATAGTATTAACTCTTTAAAGAACGTAGAGAATTCCTTTTCACTGGAACGAATTCTTTCCGATTCGAACGTTTTCATCTCATCGAAGAATTTTATTATCAAGCAGAAGTTGCTTGGGCTTGGGGTAAATGCAATTTTCTCGAATGGCGTCGATACGCACGCGGTACTGCAATTTGATCGCAAGAAACATTTCGCGAAGCTTTCAGCGTATTCTCTCTTTCTCTCTCTCTCTCTCTCTCTCTCTCATTTGAGATGCTAGACAGACGGTTTCAAATTTCTTACAATACCTACAACCTATAGAGACCAACCAAGCAGGAGGTGATGAAAGGTAGGCTATACGGAAAGAAAAGAAACCTTGACGAGAACCCAAGAGAAAACTAAGAAGAGAAAATAAGAGGAAGAAAAGAACGAATGAAAGAAAATAAAAGAATATAGAAAGAATGAAAGAAAGAAAGAAAGCAAGAAATAAAGAAGAGATCGAGTAACAGTACCAGCAACCATCAGAAGTTTCGAATTCAAGAATTCTCTGAAGAGTAAACTGACTCGACTCGATCTTCGACTTTTCGATCCGAATGTTTCGGTTTCAGTCTACCATAAAAAAAAAAGAAAAGAAAAAAAATTAGGAAAAGATGAAAGAACGCCAAAAGAAAGAAGAAAAAAGAATAGAAAAAGAATAAGAAAAACAAAAACAATAGGCAGGATTTAATCGTGGAATTATTTCTGTTAAGATACTTGGCGTAAAATAAATTGACTCGATCGTGGTGGATGCCTCAGCAATTACGTTTTTATCGGTATTTTCTCTATTTCTTTCATCCAAAACCATCCACCCTTAACCCTCCATCCTCCTCTTTCACCTTACTCATCCTACTCTCCTATTTTCCTTTCCCTAAAAAACATTTTTCCTGGCGTTCCTAAAAGCGGAATAAAAATATTTGCTAACTTGCTCCCGTTGTTCAAGCTTACCCTATAGTACAGTTACTCGCTGCACTTTGTGAAAACTGTGAAAAAAAGGAACCGAAAAAAATACCCGTGAAATAGAAATAGAAAGAGCAAGAGAGAGAAGAAAAGAAAATGATAGGAAATTAAGCGAACGGAATTACGAATTGAAACGAAAATGAGAAATGTTGAGATTCATTCGAAAAAGAAAGAGAGAAATATCTGTTATTGAAGGTTATTCTAAGTTATTGTTATTACTATTGAATATGAAATTATTGAATCGCGTTTTTGGAATAAATCGTTCAAGTGA